AAACTACGGGGAACCATGCGAAAAACGCATCTTCGCACGGGCAGCCCGTGCGTTGGCCAATTTTTAAAGAATTGTGAGAAGAGATCCAGTGCGAACTGCTTTCGGCTATCGTTATAAAGGATTCTTAAAATCGAGTCTAATTTTTGCTTAAAAGACGGTAACCAGAATGGAGAGCATCAAAAATCGACTGCGAAACAAATAATGTCTAAAACCAATCATTGCTTATTTTTGAATTTCGCTTAAATCACAAAAAGATCGCTGTCTTCTAGAGTTTTGAGATGAACTCCAGAAGCTTTGAAAGACTGCTACAAGTCTGTATCCTTTTGTGTGAAGGGAGGAGGCTCGAGTCAAAATCCATCGTCCTCTAAAATCCAAAAGCGGTCATCACTCTCTGAGCTTTCAGACTTGAACCATATGTGCTAGCATGCATGCGTGCATGCAAATATCAGCTTATCGCGATTTGCTACTTTTATTAACATATTCAAAAATGCGCAAAAACTGAGTATTATGAGGCACCCGATCGGTTGCACAATAAATTATCTTGTGCTGCAACAAAAATTTGCTTATATTAAAGCAAATTCGTCAATCTACAACAGTGTTCCAATGTGGCGATGCGTAGAACGGTTGTATTATTTCTTCAAATCGGTGAGCACCACAGTGCCCAAATCCAATTATGATATCCAAGAAGGGCAACGCCGGATTGGCGAATGCCCACTTCAGTTCACTGTTCTTCGTCTGTTTGTTAGTTCAAGGAATTACTGAATTAAGGAGGCTGTTGCCATTATAAGTTTGGTTGCTTCTGGTCTACAATAGTTTTCGGGAAGAGGTTTCTCCTGCGTGAAAACGTAGATTTAGTCGGCTGGAAGTATTCGGAATATTTTACTGGGTTAAAAAGAAATAGAGTAGTGTTTGAGGAAAGTGAAGAAGCATGATGAATTTTTGGACGAAATACGGGCCCAGATGGATGAAAGATACAAGAGTAGTTTGAGCAGTTTTATAATGAGAACGTTTTCAGCGAAGCTACTGGCTCAGATGCACCGCTTAAGCAACAGCGAATTACTAGAGTTGCAGAGGACTTGTGGCCGGAGCACGAAGTTAGACGAAACAGTGTCCGCCAAGCAACCACATTTCAAACTAGCATTCGCCAACGAAGCACAAATCGGCGATTTTCCATGGGCTGTTCTTCTGGAAAGCCGAATTCAAAAACCAGAGAGTTCAAGTAATACACTTTTTTTTCCATACCGACTAAGAAGTAACTGCAGAGAATTAAGAGAGTTAGCTTACACTTACTCTCCATCCATGATCCAGAAAGTAAAACACAAAATTCCTGACATACCGCAAAAGATGGTGTTAGGAGTAGGAGAAGGAAAAGCCACTGATGCCAGGAAAGTATCTAATGAATGTCCGAAACGATTCTCTCAAAACAAGTGTTATAGGCCCGAGCAAGGAGGTAAGCACGTGTACTGGTGTGCTCATATCACGCTGGCATTTCCTGTCTGCAGCGCATTGCCTGGAAATCAACGATCGGTAAGTTGTACTCTCATCTTCATAATTCTGGAATTAATTTCTGTCTTAAGACTTTGGATCCTGAGGCTGTAAAGTATCCCGATCAGCGGTAGTGGGGAAGAGGTCTAATATTTTTTCACTCGCATATTGTAAAAAGTAAAAATATTATAATATTTTCTCATTTGAACATGATACAAAGTACAGATATAATACAGGCGGGATATATTGCACACTGTAGTAAGCTCCATCTGCTCCGTATAGTATCTGCACTTTGTATAATATATGAGCCGAAAGACTTTATACGTAGTGCGAAGTTTATAAACGTGCGACAAAACCGCACAAGAACATTTGCATAATATGCGTATTCGAAATTTTCTGTACTTTTGGAAGTGTGGAACTGGCGTCTGTCAGGCTCATTTACTGAATAACTCTTCCCCCATTGTTCATGAAGCAACGAAAAAATGTGCTAATCAAACAAACTTAAGAGGCTTGGTAAACGTGAATGTGATGCGCGATCATCAAGTAATGGCTGGCAGTCCTTGTGCGTACGATGTGACCAGACTGGGCAGGCAAGATGTAAGTACTCCCGTCAGAATAAAAAGTCTGCATGCTTTCGTGTCTGTTCTACGGATCCCCTCGTTCAGGACTGTCGGTACAATACGGCGCGACTAGCAAAGAAGTTGAAAACGAGGTCGTTTGTCGTCACGGAGGCATCAATTCGTGATCAAATCGTCTCGGTACTCCTATTCTGCACTAAATTACAATACAGAAAGCCAGACAAAGAAGAACAGTGTGCACTAAGCAATCATGCCGCTTCTTTTAAAAGCATGCCCTCTTCAACGCCTTTCAAAGTAACAGCTTTCGTCTGCCACCGATTCTCTAGCTAAGAAATTTAATTCTATTTCGTTTAGTTCGCCAGATTTTCAATTCCTTTGTAATAACTCTATCTTTAATGAAAATAATCCCCTGCATTGCTCAGATTTCCATAAATAGCGCTGGTTTGAAGTACCGCTGCAATGCCAGTAATAGGGCACCATCAACACAGGTAGATGAAATGCTTTGACTACACGATATGCCATTTGGTGTAGTTGCAGGCAGCTTTGAAGTCAAAAAGAAACTGAAGACAGGGATTATACCGACCTGAAAAATAAGCTGGCCAAAAAGCCACCACAAAAAAAAGATGAAAATTGCCTGCAGAGAAGAAAAGAAAGGTGTATGCTGCCTTTCAAGGCAGATACACAACAAATGTGTCGCCAAGTTAAATCTGGAGGAGAGGAAGTGGTTCAGAAATTTTGAAAGAGGACTCCGTTCATGACAGGCAATTTAGAAGTGTTCGCGCGGAAGTATTAGTGAGTCTGTGGTGTTTGGAACTGGTCTGAGCTAGTTTGAAGTGTCACTACTACCAGAAAGGTACTGCGGAAAAACAAGTGCGTGGGGTCAAACGGAACAAGCACTATCCAAAACTGAAGCGATGAAGTATATATCCATGAAAAAGTTATTTTTTTCTAGGCAGGACAGTACAAATTCACAGTGCCATTTTCGGACGTTGTTCTATTCGAACTGGACGAACCTGTTGATGTTTATGACAGCTCCATAAAGCCAATATGCCTGTCGTTAACCTACGACGTATTTTTACAAACTGTTCAAGTATTTGGTTTTGGAGTGACAGGTAGGCGTAACGTTTCATTGTGTGGCTTTATTGGATCCGGTAAACTAATAATCGTTTTTTTAGCTGAAAAACACATAATACAATGCAGGATTCCCTACAAACCTCAACACTCCCTTACACAAAATATAAAATACAAACATACCCACTCTCGCCTGCGCTGTGGCTGCTGTGGCGTTCTTACTGACAACGCTGATGCAGTAATACTGCCTCACTGGTGCTTGTTCGCACAGTTATTCACGACACTTCGGTTACAACAGCTCTTTTCCTATTCTGAAGGCATTTCCAGGAATTATGATTTGAATAAGGTAAAATAAGATATTTTTATGTTAAAAAAAGAAATAATAAAATTGTTGAAAATTTTTTTAGTCGTAAAAAATGTTTCAGTCCATTAAGTCGTATACATTTCTTACCATTACCACAACTAGATCTCGTCAGTACGATGATTGTGGTAATTAGCATGAACCAGATTAAAATTTAAATAATTTTGATAGAATGGAATAGGTAAAGTAATAATATAAGTTAAGTCGGTAATAAACAGAAAGAGTGAGTGAAGTTGATATGTAAAAAATCTTACAGTAGTAGTTTTTGAATCCATTTCCGTCCCAGATAGGTTTTTCTAGAAATATCTGTAACATTATTTATTACTTTTATTAGCGCAAAATCTGGGTATTTATGCAAGAATTCGTCTAGTATATCTATATAAAAAACTGAATTATATTTTACTGCAGTACTAATATTATTATAGATTTGAATAACAATAATGACGATGATATTATTATAATTAACGAATATAAAATAAGCAAAAGGAAAGTAAGAAAGGTCAAAGGAAGCGGGATATGGAGAGCAATGTAGACTGATGAAAGGGGATAAGGAGGTAGATAGGGGGAGCAGATAGATAGGGAGGAAAAAAATGAAGGACATGCAAGCGGGAGAATTTTTTTGGATAAGGAAGGGAAAAAAGTGTAGGATAAGGAAGAGGAAAAAAAGGCGAGAGAAAGATTTAAGATGAAAAAGAAAGAAGTTGTATGGAAGTGAAGAGAAGTAGATGAAGAGAAACTAAAGAGCGTGAAATTGAACTTTAAACTTAATCGCTCTCTAATAAAGTCTAATTCCTGATTATAAGTGACATTATCACTCCTCCACATGTAAAACAAATAGAGTCATTGGCCACATGGCTACTGTTGCGTAGTGAATACTTCAATTCATTTCATTAATGCGCCCTTGCATTATTCAAAATGTCTGTAGTGAGAATTCATAATTGCATCTCCTTTTGATTCACTTCCACAACGACCGAAGTTAAAATTCTGTGGGCAAGTGATTCGATCATCCACTGGGCTAAAGCGATTTTAATGGACCTTCAAGGCCCACCTTTCTCAATCCAAAATTAAAATAACATCATAGCTCGAAGACGCAGAGTACTTCAATTTGTTGCGCATGGCGAGATGGAAAATTTGAAATTATCCTTTTCAGAGAATATCATTAGAGACGCGCACCAGATAAGCCTGTGCGATCACGTGTTTTTGCAGTATTTCGTGCTGCAATGAGATCGCTCAGAAACCGAGTAGCTACATGTGTATGTTCCTTGAAGTCCGAGAAGTTAATTGCCTATGTGCTAGTTGGACAGGGAACATCCCCTTAAAATTTCAGCTTCCCAGCTTTTCTGGTTCCCAAGCAAGCCATTTTCCCGCCGAAAAGTTTCAAGGGGCCGTACGTGAGAACCACGCACGCCAAGAAGCTAAAGTTGATACTTTTAAGTTACACTTGTGCTGGGAACATTCCTCGAAAAGTTTCTCTTCCAGTTTCTCTGGTCTCCGAGTTAACAGTTCTTTCAGCCAAAAATTTTCATGAACCGTGCAAGAGAACCATGCGAACCTGGTGGCTAAATTTGATAATCTTAGCTTTCACTGAGGCCAGGAACATCCCCTTAAAATTTTAGCTTCCCAGCTTCTCTGATCCCCGAGTTAGCAATTCTTTCCACCAAAAATTTTCACGGGACCGAACATGAGAGCCATGCATACCTGGTGGCTAAATTTGATACTTTTAGTCTCTACTGAGGCTGGAAACATCCCCTCAAAATTTCTGCCTTCCAGCCTCCCTTACGGGATCGTACGCGGGAACCATGCATAGCTGGGGAATGAATTTGAAATCTTTGAGTTCCAGGTGGACGGCAGACATAACCCCAAATTTTCAGCTTTCTAGCTTTTCTAGTTCTCGAGTTAACAATTTTCACCCCAAAACTTTCATACTCTCGTACGCTGTGCCCAGACTTGCTTGGGAGTTGTTGTCGTCCTGGAGTGGTATTCATGTTGGTAACCCACAGGCGAAATTTTGGCGCCGAAACTTGCTTGGGTGCCGAGCTGAAATACACGGACAGACGCATGTACGCACAAGCACATGCAAGCACACACACGTACATGCACACGAAGGATCGTCACAATATGCGCTTTTGCAATTTGCATATAAGCAAAAACGCATAAAAAGATAGTATGTAAGAATGATAGCTATTTAAGTGAATTCGAGCGGGTAACAAAATAAGGGGTGAAGAGGAAAATAAAATAATTAAATTCGTTAAAAATTGAAAAGTGTGTAATTGCTGTGATTACGGCGTTCCCATTTCGGCTCCAAAGCATAAACGGGATATACCTGGCTATGATTAATCCTCATCAAAGTGCTATCACAACAAATTAATACAAAAACAAAGAGTTTTTGGACCTAATGGTCTTGTGTTTAAATTTAAGTAGCGCTTTGACTCGAAAATGAAGCTGGCAGTAAATCTGAAATTTTGATGGTTTTCACGAGCTAGGAGTTGACCAAAAGCAATTTATAAGGTCTTGTATGCAGTGAGCAAGAGGACAAACTCAACAGTTTATCACAAAAACACATATCGCCGGGGTTTATTTTGCTGCTTTTTCCAGTTTGACTGAATCAGTGTATTCATGATTCTTTGCGCATTGTAGTAACTGTTGCAGAAAAATCAAAAAATAATGTGCGTTTGCATTATTTCACGGACCATGTGTTGGGAGTGGCCGAGACGCTTTGCGATACCTTCCTGAAAATTGCCGACTGCAGCCGGATGATTGTGTGGCAAAGTAATCCGGGCGAACCACGATCCGCTTGCCACGTCATTTTTCTCGTTTTTTTTCGTGTTTGACAAATAAGAAATGGGAAAAAGACCACGAAGAGTTTCGTCGGTGTCCCTCAAAATTTGGCTTTTGTTGCCTGCTTAGAAAGATTAGGAGAATGCGTATATGGGAGGAACTTCTGCTTAGATTGTTTAAAATTTATTTATTGATGAAAAGGTCTATGCTCAGTTTGCCTCAAAAATTTATCAATTTCAGGGTGATAGCGGCGGCGGCTTGTCGACTTTGCAAGGAGGGAGATATTATTTACAAGGCCTTATAAGTGTCGGGCAAACGTTTTGTGACATCCGAAAGTCAAACACAGTAATATCTTAATTATTTTGCTTACGCAACTGAAGTTCTCGATAACGCTGGGGCGTGGCCCGCCACATTAAAAATGACTGCTCCAGATTCTCATCCCTGGACAAATCACCCTGTATTATCAATAAGTTTGCAAAACAGTCATATTTTTGGCGATTAAAGTGCAAATTTAATGCTTTTTTTGCAGCTATGCAATGCAGAAAACGCATACTGACAAGAGGTCGACTGTGCGTGTCTGTGTGTACGCTGCGCGTCTGTACCGATTTTTCACGTCGAGACCCACAAAAGCTACAGGACTGAAGCTTGGTGAATTTAATCTACATGCGTGTGCGAGGCCCCATCTCCGAAATGGTGCTCACACCCACGCGGTACCCAGGCACGGGCTCGCCGAAATTTTTTTCGGATAAGTTATTAACTCGGGAACCTGAAAAGCCGGAAAGCTGGAATTTTAAGGGGATGTCCCCGTCCAAATAGGTATTAATAATTCAAACTCGGCTCTCGGATACGCATGGTACCCATGTACGGGCCCGCCAAAAATCCTTTCAGGTAGCTTTCTAACTCAGAAGCCTGTGAAGCTAGAAGACTGGAATTTTAAGATGTTTCCCTCTAAGAAAGTATTAACGAGCTCAAGCCCAGCTTCCGGCTATGCGTGGTACCCACGTACGAGCCCGTCAAAGTTTTTTGCGGGCAACCTACTAGCTCGGAAACTAGAGAAGCTGGAAAGCTGAAATTTTAATGGGACGTTCCCCGTCCACGCAAGTCGTAACGAGTTCGAAACCAACCTTCTGGTATTTATGGTACCCTCGTGTGGGCTCACCAATATTTTTTTTTAAGCTAACTCGGGAATCTGAGAAGCTAGAAGGCTGGAATTTAAAGGGGGTTCCCTGTCCAATTATGTTTTAATGAGCTCAAACCTAGCCTCCGGGCATGCGTGGTACCCACGTAAAGGCCCATGAAATTTTTTTCGGGTAGGTTACTAACTCGGGAGCCAGGAAAGCTAAAGGCTAAAAAGTTTTAAGGGGTTATTTTCTGACAGTTCTGGCGGCCAGTCTTAATTTGTTTAGCTAGAAGCATTTGGCGGAAAAACCGGT